TCTGGTGTTTTTCCTCGGAGGCGTAACCTTTGCTGAAATTGCTGCCCTGCGATTTCTATCCCAGTTGGAAGACGGAGGTACAGAATATGTCATTGCCACCACTAAACTAATGAATGGAACCAGTTGGATAGAGGCTCTGATGGAAAAACCTTTCTAGGGTGTTCAGAAGAGACCTAACAAGTGTACTGCAGAGTAAACTGCCTCATTGAAGAAGTTGCTGAAAGGAATTAAAACCCCATGGAAGAAACATGGGATTACAGAATATAACCTGGGGTCAGCTTCTTAAATTATACTACTGTTTACTCCTTTCTCCTTCTCTTTTGTATTCCTTTTTTTTGTGGTGAGGGGATGGAGTTTTGCTCTGTCACCCAGGCTGGAGCGCAGTGGCATGATCTCACCTCACTGCAACCTCCACCTCCTGGGTTCAAGTGATTCTCCTGCGTCAGCCTCTTGAGTAGGTGGTACTACAGGCATGCGACACCACGCCTGACTAATTTTTGTATTTTTAGTAGAGATGGTGTTTCACCACGTTGGCTAGGCTGGTCTCGAACTCCTGACCTCAGGTGATCCACCTGCCTCAGCCTCCCACAGTACTGGGATTACAGGCATGAGCCACCATCCCTGGCCTCCAATCTTCTGAAGAAAGAAGAATAGAAGAGAATCAGCCTGAGTGAAAGAAGCACTGGTTTTGAGGTTTCTAAGCTTAGGGTCTTCATTAGAGACCTCTGGAAATACATTAAGGATGGTGGGGGTAGATAATCCATTCAGCCACACAAACGGGGCCAGCTCTTAAAGCTGAGACTGAGGAGGTAAAACTGAAAATAAAAAGAGGAAGTCCATCCCCTGATCTCCAGTGCTGTACTTCTTCAAGGTGCATCAGGCCTAGGACAGTGGTTAAGTGTTAGGAGCTGGAGATCATTTTACCACTGAATTGAGATTTATTTTTCCTGCGAGTATGGGAGATTATATTTAGGGTCACCAGTCGCTGTCTTAACTGATCACTAAGGCAGCTTTGCTTGCTTCTTACAAAGCAAGAGGTTTGGGGGAGCTTCTTGGCCAGCAACAAAGTTTATGCTCTATGGGATCAGCTGCATCTCTGTAGGTTCCATACCTATCAGCGGCTTTTGACATGAAAGAATGTGGTAACTGGGGAGCAGCCTTCTGAGAATTCAGCTTTGAAAGAATTCAGAGACACTTCCTGGTGTTTTGTTTTTTGTCTTGAGACAGAGTCTCGCTCTGTCACCCAGGCTGGAGTGCAGCGGCGTGATCTCGGCTCACTGCAACCTCCACCTCCCAGGTTCAAGCGATTCTCCTGCCTCAGCCTCCCGAGTAGCTGGGATTACAGGTGTACACCACCATGCCTGGCTAATTTTTGTATTTTTAGTAGAGATGGGGTTTCACCATGTTGGTCAGGCTGATCTTGAACTCCTGACCTCAAGTGATCCACACACCTCAGCCTCCCAAAGTGCTGAGACTACAGGCAGAAGCCTCTGTGCCCAGCTTCAAAGACGCTTTCTTAGCCCACACATTATTAACTCCAGACACAGCAGTGGTGGATACCTCCATTGTGGTTTTCATTTTCTCTTATGTCCATCATGGGCCCACCATCCAGCTGATCCCACAGTGAGCAGGGGCAGCTCTTGCCTCTTCAGCCTCTGGCCACTTCATCTCCATGGTAACTGCCACATGTACTTTTCTAGAAAACACTCTGTTTCAGGCCCCTCTCCGGTGAACTCAGCCTTCTCCAGTTGTACCTCTTGATGATCTTGGAGACCAGCAGTCAAGCTGCTGCTACTCATGCAGGAGACTGTCAGGCTGTGGTGGAGAGCAGGGGTGCTGGAGGAGAAGTTAGAAATCTGTGTGTTCCCTGCCTCTAAGCTGCTCCATCTCAGCTTCTGGAGGAGTTGAGGCACCAAGAAGGGCACTAAGGTTGGTGACTTCGCTGCCCTTGCCCAAGCCTCCAGCAAAATTAACTGGTCCCCTGCTCTGCTGGATCCCAGCCAGCTGTGGTTTTGGTTGTTACTTAACCACACATTGTTTTTCCCCACCTTTTTCATTAGCGGAGTGTTTGTTTGTTTGTTTGTTTGTTTTTTTGAGACAGAGTCACGCCCTTGCCCAGGCTAGAGTGCAGTGGTGCGATCTTGGCTCACTACAACCTTCCAGGTTCAGACAATTCTTGTGCCTCAGCCTCCCACGTAGCTTGGATTACAGACATGCGCCACCACACCCAGCTAATTTTTTGTACTTTTAGTAGAGATGGGTTTTCACCATGTTGGCCAGGCTGGTCTCAAACTCCTGACCTCAAGTGATCCACCCACCTCAGTTCCCAAAGTGCTGGGAGTACAGGCATGAGCCACGGTACCCGGACCTTTAGTGGAGTTCTGATGGGCACGGTAAATGTTATTAATGAAAGAGAAATTCTGTATACTTTAAAAAATCTCTTTAGTAAAAGAATGAAGGGTGGCAGAGATAATATTTGAAAGATTTGTTTCTCATGGAATTAATTTGGCCTTGACATTCAGTATTTGGGAAATGTCTTTAAGAAAACCATTCTCGTTGTAGAAAATCCTTTTTCAAATGCTTGTTATCCCAGGGAGATTAGTTTATACCTTCCGCCTCAGGCAGTCATCTGCTGCTTTAGAGAATGAAATCTACCCTGCCTCTCTATGTTTTGCCTCCTGGGGCTCAATTCAAGTCTGTTCAAGTCTCCCTGGCTGGGGATTCTGTCCTGTGAACAGATACTCAGTTGTAGTGTCATGTGTCTGCATTCACTCATATGCTTGCTTGCTCAGAACATAGCTAGGTCAGCTTTTAAAAATGCATTCAGCAGAAGACTTTAAAATATCAGTTGCTTCATTTGTATCCAAATAGAAAGTGGCAGAGAATTATATATTGTATGCCTTTGTGTAAGTTCATTTAATACTTGAAGCAGTCTTTGTCGCAAAAGAGTGTGCCCTTACCGAGAAAGGGTATGTGAACGGTACATTTATTGTCGGAGAGAGTGGATCGTTTACATCGTGTCTGCACTTTTGTCTAGTTGGGTAGACAGTTCCACACCCGCAGCCCCCTAACTAAAGAAGTCTACATAGACACTGTTTTGTGTCTTGCTACACACTGTTGAATTGTGGCCAACAGAGAATTAAGTATTTGTTAATTGTGGAGCAAAAGATTAATGGTGAAAGAGGAATGATTTAAAACAGCACATGTAATTCTCAGAGAAAGCTGGGACAGTCTCATTGTGAGTTCTATTCCATTCAGATCTTTCCTCACTGGAAATGGATTATGATTAAGCATGACATGCTGGTCTGTCTTGTTCTCAGTTGTTCGGTAAAGACCAGCCTGTCACCAGGAGGAAGTGTTTGTATTGAGCAGAGTTTAATTCAAGAAGAAATTTTTTTTGAGACGAGGTCTTACTCTGTTGGCCAGGCTGCAGTGCAGTGGCACAATCATAGCTCACCTCAGCCTCGAACTCCTGGGCTCAAGCAGTCCTCCTGGCTCAGTCTCATGAGCAGCTGGGACTATAGGAATGCACCCAGCTATTTTTTTTTTTTTTTTTCCTCCTGTGACAGGGTCTATGTTGCTCAAATTCCTGGCCTCAAGAGAAGTCTTTTTTTTTTTTCCTTTTTATTAAATGTATTATCTTTTTAATTTTCTATAGAGACAGTCTCACTATGTTGGCCAGGGTGGTCTCAAACTCCTAGCTTCAAGCAGTCCTCCTGCCTCAGCCCCCGCAAAGTGTTGGGATTACAGGTGTGAGCCACCACACCAGCTGAAAGACTCTTTTTACAATATCAAAATGAACTGGATGTCTAAAGCAGACAGTAAGAAGGACTCTGATAAAGAGGGACTATGATAAAGATCGTGAGAAATGCAGGCATCATGTAGACCATCTTCTTTGGACTGTGAATTTACTGTAAAGTCTGACATATTCAATCATATGCTTTAATATGACATCCCATAGAAAATAGAGGATACTTTTTTTGGTCAGACAACAGAAGCAAAAGGCAGTTATTTAAAATTTCTCAGATTCATTTTATTTCTAAATGGATTAGTGTGAATTTCCAGCCACATAGTGTTTCTTAGCTTCAGTTACCCTGTTGCTGTGAAACACCCAAAATCAGGTGGTAACAAGAGGCTACAAAGGCTAGAACGTGTAACTGCCTGGAGACATCATTTGGAGGATGTGAGAGTTAAAAGGGAACAGAATCAGGCCTATTTTTAATAGCCTGTCTGGTTCATCCATTATTTTGATGGGGATGGTATAAATCTCAGCTGTACTCCGTTTCCAGTAGGTAGGACACGGAAGATGACCAGTTCTCTGGGGTAGTAATTACTACTCAGTGGCTTCCTGAGCAGCTTGATAATGTTCTGCTCCTGTTTTCAGCCTCACTGTGGCCAAAGCTATAATTTGATAATAAGAGATCCTGATTAAATTAAGGAGCCATTTGCTTCTGGATGATGATGTTGATAAAAGGGTTGATGTCCACACTGCCTGCTCGTTCTAAGGTCAAAAAAACAAGTCTTGAGGTAAAAACTGCAACAAGCAAAATAATGGGAAGTAGCTTAGTTTGTGTTTTCGTTTCCTTTGTTGTTGCATCTGGGAAAGTGTTCATTGCAGAAATCGTCACTGGCTCCTTTTGCCTCACATTTGGAGGAGGTGAAATTGGAAGTGTCACATTGGAAAGGTGCCTGCCTGTATAATGAGTCTGTAAGCTGTGAAACTCTTTGTAAATTGGAATCAAGCACTTGGGAGATTTCGGTCACCTAAGCTTGGTTCTCACACACGTGCATGCTTGCATTTGCATGTTTTTTTTTTTAAGACAACAGTTTTTGTTTTATTTGGGTGGTCCTAAGTGACCACTGGTGCAGTGGTTCTTCTGGTGCCCAGACTCGGAGGAGATGGGACTGCCCTCCATGTGTCAGAAACGAAACTACTGTCACTCTAACCCCTTACAGTATTGAGAAAAACACAAGACAAGAAGAGGCTTGAAATACCCCCTAGTGTACCACCTGCTCAGCCCATCTAGGTCTGTGAAACCACAGCTGAGCCGTGTGGGCTGTGGTGGCGAGGGCGGAGGGCGGAGGGCGGGCAGGGTTGCCAGCGCCCCGCCTGGGCTGGGAACGCCTGTGCGCAGCTCCCTGAGAGCTCAGGGACCACGCGGAGGTTGTAATTGGTCTCTAGACCACACCTAGTTGTTGAGTGCCGCTGCTTGAAAATCTCAGTTCTGCCGAGATCGCGGAGTACACACAAGCTACCTTTGGGCACCAGGGCAGAAAGGGAACAGCGGAGCTTCTGGGTGGAAGAGTCTGGAAACTTTGCCAAGTAAGTGAGATGGGAGAGAGGGAAGCCAGTGCCTGGCACTGCGGGGAGTAGCTGGGCAGGGCAGCAGTGGCGGTGCGGTAGGGTTCCTACTGTCTGATGAGCTGGTGTGGGGTTCTTACTGTCTGATGCCGTCTCTGGTGGAAGTTAGCAGCGAGGGGGCAGATGCATAGAGCACGGTAGGGGAGGCGAGCCCAGGATCGGATTGATGCCCACCCACCACCTGGCACCCTGCAGTCCTGGCTGGCCAGGAGACAAGCATGCTGGACCACAAAGCAAAGATCCTCCGACTCTGCTGCTGGCAAGCCTTGGGGCCAGGGAACTCATAGAAGGGCAGGTTTGGGCCCGTGCCTTCCTCCTGCCCAGATGGGTCTCTCTCCCCTTCCCCTTCCAGCCAGGGCCGCAGCTGGGGCTGCAGCTTGAGTGACGGGAAAAGAAAGCTTTACTTTACCAGCCCATTAGCGGCACAAACAGCATTAAAAATGCAGGAGGTGGCGGGAAGAGAGGGCCGGGAGGAAGACTCGTGCAGCAGCGAGGCGCGGGGAAGAGCCGGGTTCTGCCTCCTCAGCCTAGATCAGAGCCGAAGAACGAGGGCAGTCTGGGTTGAGAAGGAGTCTCCAGTGTAACCAAGAAGCGAGCGTCCAGGAGGCTGCTGGGGAGGCTGGTACTGTGGGCTTCCCTAGCCTTCGTTTGCTGTTTCGAGGGCCAGGACCTCGTGTGTTCCCGTCCGCCCCTCTGGACGGCGCCAGCCTCAAAGCTGCCGACCGTCCCGGGGCTCCTGCGCAGCGCGATGCCGGCCTCGTCCACCGTCCACGTGCTGCAGCTGCTGCGGGAGCTGCTCGCCTTCGTGCTCCTCAGCTACACGGTGCTCATCGGGGCGCTGCTGCTGGCCGGCTGGACCACCTACTTCCTGGTGCTGAAGTGACAGCGCCGCCGCCGCGCCCCGCCCCTCCGCTCGCCGGACCCAACTCACCGCGGATCTCCCCTCAAGTCCGGGAGCCGAGGCCCCGCCCACCCCCCAGCGCCGCGGCGCCCGACTCAGCTCTGCGCCCTCAGGCCCTGCGTATGCCCCGCCCCGCGCGGAAGCTCCGGCAGTTGGTTGCCTGGCGCGGCCGTTACGACCGTTGCCCTAAGCCCCGCCCTCTCCCCATCTGCCCTATCCCGACTACTTCCTTGGGTGGGGGCGTGGCCATGGGGCGATGCTCTCTCAGGTGGAGGCCGCGCCCCGCCCCGCATTCACGAAGCTACGTCGCTTCCGGCGTGTGCGTCCGGCGTCCGCCCGCCGCGGGATGGCGGCTCTGAGGAGTTGGCTGTCGCGCAGCGTAACCTCGCTGTTCAGGTACCGCTGCAGCCACGTAGTGGGGCAGAACCAGAGGGAGGGACCGACGTGGATAGCGCTGAGGCACGGCCCACGGCGCTCGCTTTGCTTACATGCTTATCCCTCGTCGGCCGAGCCGCGCCGGGAGATGCCCGAGCGTCTCTCCCGGCTCGGGATGACTGAGGACCGTCCTGCCTCCGCCCCCTGGGTCAAGCCGGGCTTCCTTTCTTTTGAGTTCGTCCATTTTCTAGAAGCGAGCCTCCCAGACCCTAAGCTGCCTTCATGGGGCGTTTCCGCCTCCCGGCCAGCTCGCGTCGGCCCCTCTTAGTCCCTGAGGAGACTTGGAGAGGAGGCGGGACACGGCGTGGGGGAGCCAGGGAAGAGAAGGGAGCGTCTGAGGACGTCCTCCCAGAGGGCGGAAGGGGCCTGGGGAGCTGGCGCGGGCGTCCTCGGCGCGGGGCTTACTCCTCGCGCTGCAGGCTCCTGGGCGTTGGTAACGGGATCGTCAGACACACCTGGTACCCAGGCCAGGGGTGCAGAGCTAAATCCTGCCTGCAGGAGCGTTTATTGTAAAAAGCTTTTTTAAAATTTTTAAATTATTTATTTATATATATTTTTTTGAGACAGAGTTTCGCTCTTGTTACCCAGGCTGGAGTGCAATGGCGCGATCTCGGCTCACCGCAACCTCCACCTCCTGGGTTCAGGCGATTCTCCTGCCTCAGCCTCCGGAGTAGCTGGGATTACAGGCACGCGCCACCATGCCCAGCTAATTTTTTGCACTTTTAGTAGAGACGGGGTTTTCACCATGTTGACCAGGATGGTCTCGATCTCTTGACCTCGTGATCCACCCGCCTCGGCCTCCCAAAGTGCTGGGATTACAGGCTTGAGCCACCGCGCCCGGCTGTAAAAAGCTTTAAGGCGACATTTTATTTTATTTTTTGAGTCAGGATCTGGCTCTGTCGCCCACGCTGGAGTGCTTGGCCAGATCGCAGCTCACTACAACCTCCGCCTCCCCGGTTCAAGCTTATTCTCCTCTCCTGTCTCAGCCTCCCGAGCAGTTGGGATTACAGGAGCTCCTCGCCATGCCCGGCTGGTTTTTGTAATTTTTAGTAGAGACGAGGTTTGACCATGTTGATCAGGCTGGTCTGGAACTCCTGACTTGAGATGATCCACCCGCCTCGGCCTCCCAAAGTTCTGGGATTACAGGCGTGAGCCATCGTGCCCAGCCTTTATTTTTATTTATTTATTTATTTTTTGCCAGCCATATTGCCCAGTCTGGTCTTGAACTCCTGAGCTCAAGTAATCCTCTTGTCTTGGTCTTTCAAGTGCTAGGATTACAGGCATGAGCCACCACGCCCTACCTGAGGCAACATTTTAAACTGAAGTGTTGTCTGTTGAAAATTTCAAAACCCCTCGCTGGTTTCCTGCTTGTGATGGTTGGCCTGGCTCCCCAGGCCGTCACGCCCCGCTGCCCGCCCCCCCTGCCCACTTGCACTGTGCCCTGTCATCGGGAAGGCTGTCCCACATCCTCATTTTAGGTTCCTGCTTGGCCCGAGTTTGAGTTTTATAGCCCCTGCAAATAAATCCAAGAGCCTGTTACAGATTGGCAGCTGTGCCTTATGAAATATGACTTCTATTTCCAGGTACAGACAGTGTGTTCCTGTCGTGGCTAACTTTAAGAAGCGTTGTTTCTCAGAATTGATAAGGCCATGGCACAAAACGGTGGCAGTTGGCTTTGGAGTAACCCTGTGTGCGGTTCCTATGGCACAGGTAAAGTACTGCCCTGTGCAGTGTTTCTTATCTTAGTGTACCGTGTTCTCTTGAAGTCTCAAGTGGGCAGTGAAGCATCAGACAAGCTACCATTGTTTTTACCCAGTGCGCCTATCCCTTCCCCCACATGATGATATACTTTGTACGACACCAGGATCTTTTCATTTTGATTGTCTCATTTGGTAGTGTTACATTTTTCTTTTTGGTACCACAAAGAAAAATTAGTACTGGGACAAAGGATCTCTCAGCAAAGCAGTTCTTTTTACTTCGTCCAGAAAGGGTACTCCTGTTAGTTTGCTAATGACAATAGATTGCTACTTCTTGCATGATGACTAGTAAGGGTACCCTTCCTGTAGTCCAGGAAGTAAAAATTGCGTTGCTAAACGATCCTTTGTCTTGGTGCTGATTTTTATTTGTGGCACCAAGCATCTATTTCCAACAGGTAGGAACAGCACATCAAATTGTATAAAGGGGATAGAGAGAAGTAAGAGGTAGGCTAGGCATGGTGGTCATGTCTGTAATCCCAGCACTTTGGGAGGCGGAGGAGGGTGGATCACGACGTCAGGAGATTAAGACCATCCTGGATAACATGGTGAAATCCCATCTCTACTAAAAGTACAAAAAATTAGCCGGGTATGGTGGCACACGCCTGTAGTCCCAGCTACTCAGGAGGCTGAGGCAGGAGAATCGCTTGAACCCGGGAGGCAGAGATTGCAATGAGCCGAGATCTTGCCACTGCACTCCAGCCTGGGTAACAGTAAGACTCTGTCTCAAAAAAAAAAAAAAAAAAAGAGAGAGAGAGAAATAAGAGGATATTACAGTCTGTCAACAAAATAGTCTTTAACAAAAATTTATTGAGCAACTTTTATGTGCCAGGTACTGAGAATGTAAGAATGAACAACAAAAAATTCTTGCTCTCACAAAATGCTTTGTGGAGATGAAAGAGGAGCAAATAAGTAAATATAAAATTATCAGCTGGTAATACATGGTAGGAAGAAAACAGGGCCAGGCACAGTGGCTGATGCCCAGTGCTTTAGGAGGCCGAGGTGGGAGGATGGCTTGAACCCAGGAGTTTGAGACCCAGCCTGGTCAACATAGGGAGACTTTGTCTCTTCAAAAAAAAAAAAATTAGCCAGGTGTGGTGGCTCATACCTGTAATCCCAACTACTCAGGAGCCTAAGGCAGGAGGATGATTGCTTGAGCCCAGAAGTTTGAGGCTGCAGTGAGCTGTGATCTCACCACTGCTGTCTAGCCTGGGCACCAGGGCAAGATCTTTTCTCAAAAAAAAAAAAAAAAAAAAAGAGAAAACAAAACAAATAGGGTAAGTGAATAGGCAATACTGGGAGGGGGTTGTTTTGTTTTAGATAAAGGTAGTCAAGAAGAGCTACTCTGAATGTAGAGTAGAGAAGTAGAGATCTGAATTCTGAAAAAGTAAGCCATTATACTATCTGGTGGGGAGAAGAGCTTTCCAGGCAGAAGGAACTCAGAAGAGCAGAGACCTAAAAGCAGAAGTATGCCTCTTACGTTTGAGGAGCAAGGAGACTAATGTGGATGGAGTGGAATGGGAGAAACAGTGATGAAGCCAGAGAGTTAACTGATAATCAGATTGTGTGCTTTATAGTTTGTGGGCCATTGTAAGGCTTTTAGTTTTATTCTGAAAAAGAAGCCACAGGAATTTTTTTTTCTTTTTTTTTTTTGAGACAGAGTCTCTCACTCTGTTGTCAGGCTGCAGTGCAATGGCACAATCTTGGCTCACTCAACCTCTGCCTCCCGGGTTCAAACGATTTTCCTGCCTCAGCCTCCTGAGTAGCTGGGATTACAGGAATGTGCCACTATGTCTGGCTAAATTTGTATTTTTAGTAGAGATGGGGTTTCTCCGTGTTCGTCAGGCTGGTCTTGAACTCCTGACCTCAGGTGATCCGCCCACCTCGGCCTTACAAAGTACTGGGATTACGGGCATGAGCCACCACACCTGGCCTAAATTTTTTAAAAGTTTTAAAAAGTTGCTGTGTGGAACTAGGAAGACTAATAGAAGGATCTTGCCATATATAGGCGTGAAATGATAGTGGCTTGGACCAGGCAAGCAGGAGAGGTGAGGGGAATTTAGCTGAACGTAGCCAGCAGGAGTTGCTGATGGATTGGATGTGGGATGTATTCTCTAGATTAGGGGTCCCCAACCCCTGGGCTAGTACTGGTCTGTGGCCTGTGAGGAAGCAGGCTGCACAGCAGGTGGTGAGTGGCAGGCAGGCGAGCATTACCGCCTGGGCTCCGCCTCTGGTCAGATCAGCAGTGGCATTAGATTCTCATAAGAGCATGAACCCTTTTGTGAACTATACATGCGAGGGACCTAGGTCGTGTGCTCCTTATGAGAATCTAATGCCTGATGATCTGAGGTGGAACAGTTTCACCTCATCCTCCCCCACCCAGTCCATGGAAAAATTGTCTTCTGCAAAACTGGTCCCTGGTGCCACAAAGGTTGAGGGCCACTGCTTTAGATTCCAAGATTTATTTATTTTTATTTACGTATTTTGAGGCGAAGTTGTGCTCTTGTTGCCCAGGTTGGAGTGCAATAGCACAATCTCAGCTCACTGCAGCCTCTGCCACCTGGGTTCAAATGATTCTCCCGCCTCAGCCTCTGGAGTAGCGGGGATTATGGGTATGTGCCACCACATCTGACTAATTTTGTATTTTTAGTAGAGACGGGGTTTCTCCATGTTGGTCAGGCTGGTCTCAAACTCTCGACCTCAGGTGATTCACCTGCCTCAGCCCCCCAAAGTGCTGGGATTATAGGCGTGAGCCACTGTGCCTGGCCGATTCCAAGATTTTTTTAAAGACCTTAGCAACTGAATGCATGGAGTAGACATTTAGTAGGATGGAGGGGAGTGAGTTTTGAAAGGGGGAAAAAAAAATCAATTCACAGTTTTGGAAATGTCATTTCCAAGATGTCTAAGAAACATCTAGGTAGAGCTGTCAATTAAGTAGTTGATTAAAAAAATGGCACTTTGGTTGGGTGCGGTGGTTCATGCCTGAAATCCCAGCACTTTGGGAGGCCGAGGCAAGTGGATCATGAGGTTAGGAGATCAAGACCATGCTGGCTAACATGGTGAAACCCCATCTCTACTACTACTAATAATAATAAATAGCTGGGCATGGTGTACACCTGTAGTCCCAGCTACTTGGTAGGCTGAGGCAGGAGAATTACTTGAACCCAGGAGGCAGAGATTGCAGTGAGCCGAAATCACACCACTGCACTACAGCCTGGGTGCAGTGTGAGACACCATCTCAAAAAAAAAAAAAAAAAAAAAAAAAAAAAGCCGGGCGCGGTGGCTCAAGCCTGTAATCCCAGCACTTTGGGAGGCCGAGGCGGGTGGATCACGAGGTCAAGAGATCGAGACCATCCTGGTCAACATGGTGGAACCCCGTCTCTACTAAAAATACAAAAAATTAGCTGGGCATAGTGGCTCGTGCTTTTATTCCCAGCTACTCAGGAGGCTGAGGCAGGAGAATTGCCTGAACTCAGGAGGCGGAGGTTGCGGTGAACCGAGATCGCGCCATTGCACTCCAGCCTGGGTAACAAGAGCGAAACTCCGCCTCAAAGAAAAAAAAAAAAATGGCACTTCATTCGGGTGCAGTGGCTCACGCCTGTAATCCCAGCACTTTGGGAGGCCAAGGTGGGTGGATTGCCTGAGCTCAGGAGTTCAAGACCAGCCTGGGCAACACAGTGAAACCCTGTCTCTATTTAGGAAAAAAAAAAAAAAATACAAAAAATTAGCCAGGTGTGGCGGCATGCACCTGTAGTCCCACCTCCTTGGGAGGCTGAGGCAAGAGAATTGCTCGAACCTGGGAGGCAGAGGTTGCAGTGAGCCAAGATTGCACCACTGCACTCCAGCCTGGGCGACAGACAGAGCGAGACTCTGTCTCAAAAAAAAAAAAAAAAAAAGGGGGTGGTCGGGGGCGGCATTTCATTTTAAAAATTGTAACTTAAATGGTTTATGGTAAGAACTAGGTAGGAAACCAGCAAGCTCCACTTCAGCAAAATGTTCCTGCTACTGATGTGTGTGTTCATCACAAAAGCAAGATTAATTCCATGTATCACAGGTATTTTCAGCATCTTCTGAGGCTCACTCATGAGCCCTTGTCTTACTGTACTTCACTTCAGTTGTCATCCTTGCATGCTGATGATTCTGTAGCCCTAAAACAACGCTCACTGGAATACCAGGCCATTTTCGGCCACAAATGGGACAACATTTTTTCATTCAAAAGATTTTTTTTTTAAGATTTGTCCATTCTCAGTTATTATATTACTTCCTAAGTCCCACTTACCTCAGTTCTGGGCCACATGACTGGGTCCTCTAGTCATTTAGTATAGCAATCCCACTTCCATTCTTTAAAACCCCTCAGTGGTCAGCTAGGCATGATGGCTCAGTCTTGTGATCCCAGTACTTTTGGAGGCTGAGCGGGAGGATCACCGTAGGCCAAGAGTTTGACACCAGCCTGGGCAACATAGCGAAACCTTCCCTCTACAAAAAACAGCCAGGTGTAGTGGCATGTGTCTGTAGTCCTAGCTACCTGGGAGGTGGGAGGATCATTTGAGCCCAGGAGTTCAAGGCTGCAGTCAGCTGGGATCACAACACTGCACTCCATCCTGAGTGACAGAATGAGAAATGAAAAACTTAGAATGGCTCTCCATGAGGTGTTCAGAACTAAAATCCAGCCAAGTCGCCCTGCACTCCAAAGCCCTGACGAGTCTCATCTGTCTTGTGCCATTGCTCCAACCAGTCTAGGTCCCTGGACATCCCCTGCAACAAATGAATTCTTTTCCTCATTGTTTCCTATTATCCAGGATGCCTGGCCATTCTGATTCTAGGAGTCTTTAGTACCAAGTCTCACCTCTGTTTAAAACCCTTCCTTATTCCTGTCCAACAACTGTCTCCTTTCCTGCCACTTAATATTTTATATTTTAATATTTTATGATAATCCTATGGCACTCTCCTGAGTCAGCAAAGCATAATGGGAAGGGTACAGACTTTGGAGTGAGATTTGGTTTGAGGTCTAGATGTGACTTTTTAGAAAAGATACATAACTATTCTGAGCTTCCATGTTGTTGCTTGTAGAAAAGAAGTGATAATAACTGGACTGTTGTGAGAAACAAGTGAAAACACATTATAAAATATAGTACATTATAAGCCGGGCGCGGTGGCTCAAGCCTGTAATCCCAGCACTTTGGGAGGCCGAGGCGGGTGGATCACGAGGTCGAGAGATCGAGACCATCCCGGTCAACATAGTGAAACCCCGTCTCTACTAAAAATACAAAAAATTAGCTGGGCATGGTGGCACGTGCCTGTAATCCCAGCTACTCAGGAGGCTGAGGCAGGAGAATTGCCTGAACCCAGGAGGCGGAGGTTGCGGTGAGCCGAGATCGTGCCATTGCACTCCAGCCTGGGTAACAAGAGCGAAACTCTGTCTCAAAAAAAAAAAATATATATATATATAGTACATTATAAAGACTTATCAGAACATTAAGACAAAATTAGCTTCTTGTGAGCAGAGATGTCATTCTTCCCTTTGTACTTGATTGAATGAAATATAAAGTTCTTGATTTGTTCATATCAAAAATATTTATTGACTGATGCTTTCAACATGCAGTGATTGAGTGTTTGTACTCTGAATATCAAAAACAAGACAGAACATGGTGTATTTTTTTTTTTTTTTTTTTTTTTTTTGAGATGGAATTTCACTCGTCACCCAGGCTGGAGTGCAATAATGCGATCTCGGCTCACTGCAACCTCCACCTCCTGGGTTCAAGCAATTCTCCTGCCTTAGCCTCCCAAGTGGCTGGGATCACAGGCGCCTACCACCACGCCAGCTAATTTTTATATTTTTAGTAGAGATGAAGTTTCACCATGTTGGCCAGGCTGGTCTCAAACTCCTGACCTCAGGTTATCCTCTTGCCTCTGCCTCCCAAACTGCAGAGATTAAAGGCATGAGCCACCACACCCAGCTGAGTGACTGATTTCTTTTTTGGTTCTGATACAAGAAGTGCTTCGCTGAGGAGGAAAAAGGCAGAGTCATGGATGATGTGTCATTACAGTTGCCAGTATTTAGTCAAGGTAGCCACAGGTGATTATATTGGTCTTTTCTTTTTTAAAAGAGCTGAGGTCAGGTCGGGCTCAGTGGCTTACGCCTGTAATCCCAGCACTTATGGACGCTGAGGTGGGTATATCACTTGAGATCAGGAGTTCAAGACCAGCCTGGGCAACATGGCAAAACCTCATCTCTACTAAATATACAAAAAAATTAGCGAAGTGTGGTGGCAGGTGCCTGTAATTCCAACCACTTGGGAGGCTGAAGCAAGAGAACTGCTTGAGCCTGGGAGGCAGAGGTTGCAATGAGTCAAGATTTAGCCACTGCATTCCAGCCTGGGCGACAGAGTGAGACTCTGTCTCAAAAAAAAATCAAATAAAATAGCTGAGGTCCCCCCATCAACACCCTACTGCTTCATTCTGCTCAGAATTGCCTTCCCTGTCCACTTAGACTCAGCTTAATCCTCATCAAATTTGTGAAGCCTTTTCTAAGCCATTATCACTCTAAGTAGAACCGATTGCTCCCTTCTGCATGCCCCCACTGTAGCTCATACGTACTCCTGCCACTGCTTCCATGATACATGATTGTGTTCATTTTTCTAGTTCTGTTAGCCCGTCATCTTCCTCTCTCTGCCTCTGCACCTGTGTTGGGGGGCAGAGAATGTCTTATTGAGACTTTGTGTCTCAAGTATCTAACACTGTTAATGAATTGTAATCTTATGAATCTGTTGGTTATAATCAATAGCGTGTGTGTGTATGTGTGTGTGTGTGTGTGTGTGTGTGTGTGTGTGTGTGTTTTGAGAGTCTTGCTCCGTCGCCTATGCCGGAGTGCAGTGGTGTGATCTTGTCTCACTGCAACCTCCGCCTCCCGGGTTCAAGCAGTTCTCCTGCCTCAGCCTCCCAAGTAGCTGGGATTACAGGCACACACCACTACCACTCGACTAATTTTTGTATTTTTTAGTATGGATGGGGTTTTGCCATGTTGGCTAGGCTGGTCTCAAACTCCTGACCTCAAGTGATCTGGCCCCCACCCTCGGCCTCCCAAATGCTGAGATTACAGGCGTGAGCCACCATGTCTAGCCCCATTTTATTTTATATAGAAAGAAATAATTTGCTTTTTGGAGCAGAGAATGAAAGTCAGTAGAAAATATACTCTGGAATTACTTCCCTATATTGCTTAAATTGCCTAAATAAGGCCTTAAAAAATGTAACTCCCACAGGGCGCGGTGGCTCATGCCTGTAATGCCAGCACTTCGGGAGGCCGAGGCGGGTGGATCACGAGGTCAAGAGATCGAGACAATCCTGGTCAGCATGGTGAAACCCCATCTCTACTAAAAATACAAAAAATTAGCTGGGTATGGTGGTGCATGCCTGCAATCCCAGCTACTCAGGAGGCTGAGGCAGGAGAATTGCCTGAACCCAGGAGGCGGAGGTTGCGATGAGCCGAGATCACGCCATTGCATTCCAGCCTGGGTAACAAGAGCAAAACTCCGTCTCAAAAAAAAAAAAAAAAAAAAAAATGTAACTCCCACAAATATAGTGCAGTTTCAGCTTAAAGCACTAAGCAGCATGAGTTTTTTTTTTTAACTTGCCTGTTGGTGAAAAAGTTCTCAGTTTGAGCTCTAGAGGTCTAGTGACAATGTTTGTGTCTTTCAGAAATCGGAGCCTCATTCCCTTAGTAATGAAGCATTGATGAGGAGGGCGGTGTCTTTGGTAACAGATAGCACCTCTACCTTTCTCTCTCAGACCACATATGCGTTGATTGAAGCTATTACTGACTATACTAAGGTATGTCTCCTCTTGTTAACTCTTGCTCTTCTAAACAATGGTTTAGCAAATAATGACTCAAAACCAAATTGTCTGATGCCCATGTTGGTATTTTATTGGAACACAGCCTGGCCTATTTATTTATGTATTGTCAATAACTGTTTTTGAGAGTTTGAGTAGTTTCAACAGAGGCTATAACAACCACAAAGCCTAAAATATTTACTGTCTGGCCCTTCACAAAGAAAGTTTGCTGACCCCTGATTTAAATCACTGGTTTTTAGACTTTTTCCAGGAACCTTTTTTTTTTTTTTTTTTTTACAGAAAAGTCTTAAATATGGCAGCTTAGAATATAAAACAGGAGTCAAGCTGATGTGGTTCAGTTACAGATAAAGGGGTCCATGGTCTATCAACAGAGGCGTCTCTGTAAGGATTATTTAAAAACCACTGATCTAAACTAGTATGGGCCAGGCATGGTGGCTCACGTCTGTAATCCCAGCACTTTGCGGTGCCAAGGTGGGAGGATCACATGGGGCCAGGACTTCAAGACCAGCCCAGTCAACATAGTGAGCCCCGTCTCTACCAAAAAAAATTTTTTAACTTAGCCAGGCATGGTGTATTGTGTGCCTTTATTCCCACTTACTCCAGAGGCTGAGGTAGGAGATCACTTGGATCCAGGAGTTTGAGGTACAGTGAACTCCGATCATGCCACTACACTTCAGTCTGGGTGATGTTGCACCCTGTTTGTAAAAAATAATTTTTTTTTTTTTTTTTTAGGCGGAGTTTCGCTCTTGTTACCCAGGCTGGAGTGCAATGGCGTGATCTCGGCTCACTGCAACCTCCGCCTCCTGGGTTCAGGCAATTCTCCTGCCTCGGCCTCCTGAGTAGCTGGGATTACAGGCACACACCACCATGCCCAGCTAATTTTTTGTATTTTTAGTAGAGATGGGATTTCACCATGTTGACCAGGATGATCTCGATCTCTCGACCTTGTGATCCACCTGCCTTGGCCTCCCAAAGTGCTGGGATTACAGGCTTGAGCCACCACGCCCGGCCAAAAAAATAACATTTTTAAAGAGTATATGGATGCTGGGCATAGTGGCTCACGCCTGTATTCCCAGCACTTTGGGAGGCCAGGACGGGTGGATCACCTGAGGTCTGGAGTTTGAGACCAACCTAGCCAAACTGGTGAAACCCTGTCTCTACTAAAAATACAAAATTGGCCAGGTGTTGTGGCACGTGCATGTAATCCCAGCTACTTGTGAGGCTGACACAGGAGAATCACTTGAACCCAAGAGGTGGAGGCTACAGTGAGCCGAGATCGTGCCACTGCACTCCAGCCTGGGTGAGACAGAGACTCTGTCTTAAAAAAAAAAAAAAAAGAAAGTAGCGAATCAAAATTATTGAAGTCTCATTTTTTGCATTTATTTTACATATATTTTCTAGTAGCTGTTTTTCTGAGGCTTTAGAGTTTTCCCTTGCATTGTATTCTCTGTGTCTGAATTGTTGACAAGCTTTTTAAAACACAGAAGTTTACAGATAGAAATATTGATGTCCTGGCCGGGCGCGGTGGCTCAAGCCTGTAATCCCAGCACTTTGGGAGGTCGAGGTGGGTGGATCACAAGGTCAAGAGATCGAGACCATCCTGGTCAACATGGTGAAACCCCGTCTCTACTAAAAATACAAAAAAAATAGCTGGGCATGGTGGTGCGTGCCTGTAATCCCAGCTACTCAGGAGGCTGAGGCAGGAGAATTGCCTGAACCCAGGAGGCGGAGGTTGCGGTGAGCCGAGATTGCGCCATTGCACTCCAGCCTGGGTAACAAGAGCGAAACTCCGTCTCAAAAAAAAAAAAAAAAGATTGATGTCCTGGAGTGATAACTTTACTTCATAATAGTGCAGTTTTTTAGTGAGGCCGTAGTATGAAAGAGCCAGTTTGCTATAATGGGACTTAATTTCCTTCAGGTGGAAATCTCTCTATTCCTTCTAATATGTCTCACTTATTTTACTCAGACTTATTCTATATTTGCAGGCTGTTTATACCTTAGTTTCTCTTTACCGACAATATACAAGTTTACTTGGGAAAATGAATTCACAGGAGGAAGATGAAGTGTGGCAGGTGATCATAGGAGCCAGAGTTGAGGTAAGCAAAAAGTTATAGGCATTTCTGTGTTAGTGCACCTACCTCAGGTGGTATCTAAATTATTAAGTCGAATATAATCAGTGACTGTTCTTTAAATCTACTACTTTAAGTCCATTTAAATGGGCTATACATACTCATGCTGTATGAAGCACTTTGCTTGTTTTATATAGATGACTTCAAAACAACAAGAATACTTGAAGCTGGAAACCACTTGGATGACTGCAGTTGGTCTTTCAGAGATGGCAGCAGAAGCTGCATATCAAACTGGTAGGTTAAAGCTTTGTGTTGGTTTTATTTAACTAGGGAGGTGCCATTTGAGTTTTCATCTGGTTTTCTAAAATGAGGGCTTTATATTAGATGGTCTCTGTGGCTCTAACTTTGAGAAATTTTCTCCATTTTCTGTATATTAACCAACATTTTATTTCCACAATAGAAAAAATGAGCATATCCCTGCAGACCAGACCAGTAGAAGCTCGGTTGTCAGTATCTTCAAAATGAAAAATGATCAAACTATTACCATTGGAAAATTGGATTGCTTCTAAATAGTTTGAGCTTTTTTTTGGCAATACAATTTTTTAACAGTTAATCATAGAATTACACAGTTGGATGAGACCTGAGGTCATTAGTCTGTATGAATTAATCATAGAATTACACAGTTGGGGCCGGGCGCGGTGGCTCAAGCCTGTAATCCCAGCACTTTGAGAGGCCGAGGCGGGTGGATCACGAGGTTAAGAGGTCGAGACCATCCTGGTCAACATGGTGAAACCCCGTCTCTACTAAAAATACAAAAAATTAGCTGGGCATGGTGGCACGTGCCTGTAATCCCAGCTACTCGGAAGGCTGAGGCAGGAGAATTGCCTGAACCCAGGAGGCGGAGGTTGCGGTGAGCCAAGATCGCGCCATTGCACTCCAGCCTGGGTAACAAGAGCAAAACTCCGTCGCCAAAAAAAAAAAAAAGAATTACACAGTTGGGTGAGACCTGAGATCATTAGTCTGTGTGAACCTTTTTGTACAGGTAGAGAAAATGAGACCTGGAATCATAGTGGCAAAACCAGGACAAATTATTATGTGTCTGTTTCAGGCTTTGTGGTAAGCATTTCATAGGCACTTTTTATATATGAAGAAACTAGAGGGCAGATAGTCCAAATAATGCACCTAAGATGACATGGTATGGTGAGTAAGCAGCCAAACTGAGATTAAGCTGAGTAGGTTTTTTGTTTTGTTTTTTTTTTTTAATAGTGATGATGGGGTTTTACCAGGTTGCCCAGGCTAATCTCAAACTCCTAGGCTCAAGCACTCTACCTGCCTTGGCCTCCCAAAATGCTGGGATTATAGGTGTGAGCCACCTAGCCAAGTGGGTCGAATTCTGAAGCCTTTCCTTCTCCTAGCAGCCAGTGCCCCAAGGTGCCCATCATAGAACATCTTTTTTTTTTTTTTTTTTTTTTTTTTTTTTTTTTTTTTTTGAGACGGAGTTTTTGCTCTTGTTACCCAGGCTGGAGTGCAATGGTGCGATCTCGGCTCACCGCAACCTCCGCCTCCTGGGTTCAAGCAATTCTCCTGCCCCAGCCTCCTGAGTAGCTGGGATTACAGGCACGCACCACCATGCCCAGCTAATTTTTTGTATTTTTAGTAGAGACGGGGTTTCACCATGTTGACCAGGATGGTCTCGATCTCTCGACCTCGTGATCCACCCGCCTCGGCCTCCCAAAGTGCTGGGATTACAGGCTTGAGCCACCGCGCCCGGCCACATAGAACATCTTATCTGATTGGTTCCAAACTAGGTATGCTCACAGAATTTTTTTTTTTTTTTTTTTGAGACGGAATTTCACTCTTGGCACTCAGGGTGCATGCAGTGGCACGTTCTCAGCTCACTGCAACTTCTGTCTCTCTGGTTCAAGCAGTTCTCCTGCCTCAGCTTCCCAGTCGCAAGCATGCACCACCATGCCTGGCTAATTTTTGTATTTTTAGTAGATACATGGTTTTGCCATGTTGGCCAGGCTGGTCTCACTAAACTCCTCACCTTAGGTAATACACCGACCTCAGGTAATGCACCCACCTTGGCCTCCCAAAGTGTTGGGATTATAGGCATGAGCCACCACACTGTTTGAGCCAGCTCACAGAACTTATATCCTAGTACTAGCTCTTATTAAGAAACTGGTGGCCAAGGTAGTGGCTTATGCCTGTGATCCCAGCACTTTGGGAAGCCGAGGTGGGCTGATCACTTGAGGTCAGGAGTTCAAGACTAGCCTGGCCAATATGGCAAAGCCCAGTCCCTACTAAAAATACAAAAATTGGCCGGGCGCGGTGGCTCAAGCCTGTAATCCCAGCACTTTGGGAGGCCGAGGCGGGTGGATCACGAGGTCGAGAGATCGAGACCATTCTGGTCAACATGGTGAAACCCCGTCTCTACTAAAAATACAAAAAATTAGCTGGGCATGGTGGCACGTGCCTGTAATCCCAGCTACTCAGGAGGCTGAGGCAGGAGAATTGCCTGAACCCAGGAGGCGGAGGTTGCGGTGAGCCAAGATCGCGCCATTGCACTCCAGCCTGGGTAACAAGCGCGAAACTCCGTCTCAAAAAAAAAAAAAAAAATACAAAAATTAGTGGGGTGTAGTGGTGGCACACACCTGTGCAGGAGAATCGCTTGAATCCAGGAGGTGGAGGCTGCAGTGAGCAGAGATGGCGCCACTGCACTCAAGCCTTGGTGACAGAATGAGACTCTGTCTCAAGAAAAAAAAAAAAGAAAAAAGCTGATAGGGGTCGGCCACAGGGGCTTACGCCTGTCTTTGGGAGGCTGAGGTGGGCAGATTGATGGAGCCTGACACGTGCCTCTAGTCCCAGCTACTCTGGAGGCTGAGGGGTGGGAGGATTGCTTGAGCCCAGGAGTTCAAGGTTGCAGTGAGCTATGATCATGCCTCTGCACTCCATCCTGGGCAAAAGAGTGAGACCCTTTCTCTTAAAAAAAAAAAAAAATACAATTTGGCCGGGCGCGGTGGCTCAAGCCTATAATTCCAGCACTTTTGGGAGGCCGAGGCGGGTGGATCACGAGGTCAAGAGATCGAGACCATCCTGGTCAACATGGTGAAACCCCGTCTCTACTAAAAATACAAAAACTAGCTGGGCATGGTGGCGCGTGCCTGTAATCCCAGCTACTCAGGAGGCTGAGGCAGGAGAATTGCCTGAACCCAGGAGGCAGAGGTTGCGGTGAGCCGAGATCGCGCCATTGCACTCCAGCCTGGGCAATAAGAGTGAGACTCCACCTCAAAAAAAAAAAAAACGAAGTTATATTAAAACATACTCTTGTTTTCTGTTGTCAGGATTAGCAGACTGTGGTCTCAAGCATCAAATCTTAATGATATAAAGGGCTGGGTATGGTGGCTTGTGCCTGTAATCCCAGTTACTTACTTGGGAGGCTGAGGCAGGAGGATCACTTGAGCCTGGAAGGCAGAGGTTGCAGTGAGGTGAGATCACATCACACCATTGTACTCCAGCCTGGGCAACAGAGTGAGACCCTATCTCAAAAAAACAAAGGATTAGGCTGGGCGCGGTGGCTCAAGCCTGTAATCCCAGCACTTTGGGAGGCCGAGGCGGGTGGATCACAAGGTCAAGAGATCGAGACTATCTTGGTCAACATGATGAAACCCCGTCTCTACTAAAAATACAAAAAATTAGCTGGGCATGGTGGCGCGTGCCTGTAATCCCAGCTACTCAGGAGGCTGAGGCAGGAGAATTGCCTGAACCCAGGAGGCGGAGGTTGCGGTAAGCCGAGATCGTGCCATTGCACTCCAGCCTGGGTAACAAGAGTGAAACTCCGTCTCAAAAAATAAAAAAGGGTAAATGTCCCATCATCATACTGAAAAAACAAAAAATATATATATATTTTTTTTACTTTAAGAGACACGGTCTCAGCTGGGCACGGTGGCTCAAGCCTGTAATCCCAGCATTTTGGGAGGCCGAGGCAGGTGGATCACGAGGTCAAGAGATCGAGACCATCCTGGTCAACAGGGTGAAAACCCCGTCTCTACTAAAAATACAAAAAATTAGCTGGGCATGGTAGCACGTGCCTGTAATCCCAGCTACTCAGGAGGCTGAGGCAGGAGAATTGCTTGAACCCAGGAGGCGGAGGTAGCGGTGAGCCGAGATGGCGCCATTGCACTCCAGCCTGGGTAACAAGAGTGAAACTCCGTCTCAAAGAAAAAGAAAAAAAGAGAGAGACAGGGTCTATCTTGCCGAGGCTGGAGTGAAGTGGGTATTCACAGGTGCGATCCCACTACTGATGAGTACAGGAGTTTTGACCTGCTCCATTTCCGACCTGGGCTGGTGGGCTGGTTCACCCCTCCTTAGGCAACCTGGTGGTCCCCTGCTCCTGGGAGATTAACGTATTGATGCCGAACTTAGTGCAGACACCCAACTGGCATAGCACACTACAGGCCAGAACTCCTGGGCTCAAGTGATCCTCCAGCTTCAGACTCCCAAGTAGCTGGGACTACAGGCACATGCCACCACACCTGGCTTTTTTTTTGGAAACAGAGTGTCACTCTGTCCCCCTCACTGCAACTTCCACCTCCCTGGTTCAGGCAATTCTCTTTCTTGCCTCAGTCCTCCTAAGCAGCTGACATTACAGGCGCCTGCCACCATACCTGGATAATTTTTGTATTTTTAGTAGAGATGGGGTTTCACCATGTTGGCCAGGCTAGTCTGGAACTCCTAATCTCAAGTGATCTGCCTGCCTCGGCCTCCCAAAGTGCTGGGACTACAGACGTGAGCCACCACGCTTGGCCCAGAAAAAGAATTATTAGTGATCCCGAGGGATCGGAGATTCAGAACAAAGAATGAAACAACGGAAGTGTGGAAACAACAGAAGCATTATAGTCTTGCCACACAAAAATGGCAGTGGATTCTCAGGTGCAGTGAACAGGAGGATGTGGCTTACATCTAGAAGGAGAAAAGAGGGAGAGGATATGTAAGCATCATCTGAAAAAAAGTAGACATTTTCCTAGAACTCATCGAAAGGGGTAACAAAGTTGTAACAGGATTTTTGTTTTTTTGAGACAAGGTCTTAACTGTGTCACCAGGCTGGAATAAAATGGCACAGTCACGGCTCACTGCTTACTACAGCCTCAACCTGTGGGCTCAAGCAGTCCTACCACCTCAGCCTCCCAAGTACCTGGGATTACAGGTGTACTTTGTGTTTTTGGTAGAGAGTATGTTTTGCCGTGTTGCCCACGGCTGGTCTTGAACTCCTGAGCTCAAGTGATCCATCTGCC